GCGAGTACTTTCAGCTTATACCTTCAGAGGCTGGCTACACTAGAGGGCAGAGGGCTGAAAAAGAGCTCTTGATTTGCCTTAATCCCATGATCCCATGAGAGGAATTTAAACCAATGTTGAGGTTTGTGGGGGTAGGAGGGTTAAATTTGTTTATAAATGCAGGTGGGAAGCTCACGGATGTTCCAGAATTGCATTTAATTGGGAAATTGTTGGCTCTGCACCCCAACAGGGCTGGGGTGTTGGGAAGAGGGGGAGGCAGTTGGGTGGGTTGGGGGGTTGTGGGCAGTGTGCCCACAGGACGTGAGGACCACCACTCTGGGTGGCCTGTCTTAACCCTGGGTATTTTAGTGCTTCTTGGTGTCGGTGGTATTCTGCAATACTTTGCCGTGAGCTAGGCCTTTAGCAGTCCTGTTTAGATACCATTCCAGCCACTACATTTTAAGGTTCAGTTGAGACAAAGCCGAGGTGGAAGCTGCTGCTTTTAACTCGCTGTTTTTATAAGGCATGATAAAATACAGACTATGTGCTCAATATTTAAATGAACTTGAGAGGGTCTTGAAAAAGATACATTGAGGTGGTTTTTTTACCTTTTCTCCCTCCCAGTACACCAAGTATGTTTGGAAAATTAAATTTCTGTAATTACGCTCTAAGTATGCTCATTGTTCTGTGTTTAGCCCAAGTTGATGGTAAGAAAATTTTGAGCCACAAAACAGTTTAGTTACAGCTTTAAACTCTGTGTTATGCTACCGTGTTCTGTATTTCTATGAAGACCGCATTTACATTTCTCAAATCTGCCTGAAGCAAACAATTTCAGCCTTTGCTGCCATGGGTGGGTATGCCCAGAGTTTGGTTTAGGCTTGCTTGAGCTGTTCCTGCTTTGGATGGACTGAAATGTCAGATGTGAGATTAAAACTTTTTTTTTTCCCCTTCTTTCAGGTGCCTGCTGATGGAAACGCTGGGCTGCTGGCAGAGCCTCAGATCGCTATGTTCTGTGGGAAACTCAACATGCACATGAACGTCCAGAATGGAAAGTGGGAATCGGACCCCTCTGGCACCAAGACCTGCATCGGGACAAAGGAAGGGATTCTACAGTACTGCCAGGAAGTAAGTCAGTCCCATTTTCAGGAACAGCTATGGTGGTGGTTCTTCTGAAGCACCAAGGTGCAGGCGTGTGCTGGAGAGCAGAGTCTGTAGGGATCTTCCACCCCTCCCCCCCCCCCCCCCTTTTTTTTTTTTTTTTGTTCTCTTCTGCTCCATTTCCTTTTTGTCCTTCTTAATGAGGCTCAAACAGCTTCAAGAATTGGTTACTGGCAGGGTCACTGGGACCAATTTTGTCTCTGTCTTCTACCCTTGGGGGATAATTTTTGTGTAGTATATGCAGAATGAGCTGCTTTCTTATAAAGTATTTTGAATAAAGCTGAGGTGACAGTTTATTTAAAATGCCCTTGTTCTTTCTGGGCTGATCTTGAAAGCAGCAGCTGTAACATGTCTTCTGTCATCCTACCATGATACTGAAATACACTGGGGCAGTCTAGAGTTATTGGTCTCTGCTGCACACTGAACCATTCAGAGTTTCTTAACAGAAAAAGCTTGCCCTACAAATGAAGTCACAATGACTGATTTAATATTTGAGAGCAGAAACTTATTACCCACTTGCTTATGTCCTAAGAACAGATTGTGGATCTAATTTTGTTTTGTCTCCATGCTGTGAAAGCGTGATAACCTCATACCAGTGTGTGACAATTTGAAAAGAAAATGCGGATTTCATGCCATAAAACAAAAGGGCACAACTTGAGTCGCTTTAGTCCTTATGTCTTTCTATACCATCTCTGCCTTTTTTTTAAGCAGAGGCTATTGCTTATTGCCATAGCAGTAGCTGTCTTGCTTCTTAAATGTCAAACCAATTCCTGTGAAAATGCCTCTTTAGAAAGCAAGATAATTCACTCTTCAGATCTTTGCTCTCTTAGCATCTTCATTCCTGTCCTTCCGCCCATTGATTGTTCCTTCTGTTTCTTGCAGTGTTTTGTTCAGTTTTTTCTGAGTTTGGGCTTTATGGTCTGGAATATTCATTAGCCTTAATTTGTGTGATGACAGTTCATTAGCTTAGCGTTAGATGATCATGTCACAATTTGAGTGTCTCTAGCTACAGTTAAGAGCATAGCTTAGGGTGTTCTGCCCTGTTGTGGGGAAGGTGCTGGCAGATCTACTCACTAAGAATGGGGTGGGCATCTTACTGATTTTGGTTAATGTATGTTATTATGTATGTGTGATTAAGTAGTGTGCTTTCATGAACTTGAAGTGAGCAGTTCTACTGTGCTGTGTTAAAACAGGGGAATCTGCCTAAAAAAATCCTTTCCTTGATGTGCTCACCAGTATGCTTTCTGTTTGTTTGTGGGAAACGGCTAATGTCCTGGCTGTCCTGCCCTCTCCTGCCCCCACACACACCTGAGCTGCACAGTACAACTGGCTGTAGGACACTGGTGGAGAAGGGGCAAGCTTGTCTGGGGCGTAAGAGCATGTGGAAGCACCAGGGCACTCAGTCAGCAGCTGGCTTGGGGGTGGGGAGGAATCATGTGAGCTCCAATTTTGTAATGCTGGTAACAAATTCAGAAACAGATAGCAAATATTATGAAGGTCAGATCTTCCAATAGTAAGTTAACACAAAAAGCCACATGGAAGCTGATCCAGCCCAGCAGTGTGGAAAGAAGCTCCCAGTTCTGTATGGCTCTCCCCCATAGTCCTCCCTGCTTCCCCGTGCCCCTGTGGCCAGGGCTGCAGCATGGGGGGCTTGGACTTTGGCCAGGAAAGGGCACTACTGCTTTGCTTCAGTTAAGCTTTTCCACAACCTGACAAGAGAAACCGAAGAGTTGTCTAGAAGCACCCACTTCCACCAAAGAAATGAATTTCTAAAGAAGTGCTAGTAAATGCAACTCAGATGAGCTTCTCGGCTTTGGAGAACCCCTTGTTGCTTGATCCTCCAAAGGGGCTCAGTATCCTGGGGGCAACTAGTGAGGTGGTTTTCCTCTTGCCTTCTGCTGTTTATGTTGGCTGTGAGACAGCGCTTGCTATTGGGGAATGGGACAAATTTGCATCTTCCCATTAGCAGGAAGCAATACACATCAAGGCTGAGATGTGGTACCTCTTGCATTGGAAAAGTATGCAGGTAAAAATCTCCTTTTTTATTAATTTTGCCAAATACAACTTTTTCCTTCTTTTCTTTTCTCTTTATGCTGCTTTTTTCCCCCAAAAGGAGGATGGCTTTCTCTTGGGCTGTGTTTTTTGTCGGTGTAGACAGAGGCTGAGTGTATTCACTCTGCTAATCAAGCAGACTGGTACTCTTCCTGAATCTATGTTCTTCATGCTCCATGGCAACATGGGAGCTTCCTTGGTGCTTTGGTCTTGCTGTAACAGCAGCTGTTAGTACTGTTCTGCTGAGGTAGTAGGTTTTTTTCCCTGCTCTGAGCAGAGCCCTGAAATGACAGGAAGCAAGGGAAGGTAAGATTGGGGTTGTTTTTTTTTTTACTTTTTTTTTTTTTGGTGGTTCCCCTACACCTCTAATGAAAAATTTATCCATCCTGGTTTTTGTTGCAGATACCTTGTGTGGCTCTGTGCCAGGCATTGTGGTTATGGCTGTAATGCAAGAGATGATGCTCTGCTGTGGTAAATCCTGTAGAATTAACCTATGTACTCAGTTTTTCCTACACCGGGGAGAGACCAGAAGGGACATACTGAAAGGAGCCAACTGGGCAGAAACTCAGAGAGCGAGTACAATGGAGATCTTGCTCTGTGGCTCCTTGGCTCCAAAATAATACAAAGTTAATAGATTTTATCAGGAAACTCATCTTCATTAACTGATGATCCGAAATGATACTCCATGTGTTCTCTGGCTTATTCTTCATTGAACGTATCTTTCAAAAAAAAAAAAAAGTTATCTCCCCTTTTAATAGAACTTACAAGCAGATGCATTTGTCTGCCTCCCTGTAAGCTGCTTTAAAAGCTTGACAATGCAAGGCCAGATGCCTGGGTGGTGGGCAGAGCACTGGGCTGGATGGTGCATGGAGTACAGAAGGACTTATATTTCTCCTGCAGAGAAGATGTACAGGGAGCCTCTTACCTTTTCCTTGAAGTTGTCATCATTGCCTCTCCTTGTCCACTGCCAGTGTAGGTGGATTTTGAAGTCTTGATGCAGGAAGTAGCAGTAGAGGAGCATTGCAGGGGCAGAAAGGGAGGAATGGGAAATAAGCAGAACCGCCTACACGTTCTTAAGATTTATGTCACTTGTTGTTGCTTCTCTTCTTTTGAGTGGGAGCTCAGTGCAGCACAGGAACTGTCTGAATTTATATTTGGACAACACATCACACAATTTAAAGATGACAAAGCTCAAGAGTGTACATTACTTATTTGAAAGGAAATGGAAGATACTTGAATACTGTCTTCTAACTTCCTTGACTTCAGTTAAAGTCTGATACAGAAGTCACAAGAAGAGGTTCTGAAAGCACAGTATATTCATCTCCTCCGCCTTCAAATCTGCATGTTTTCCCATGTTCAGCCTAAGCTGGTTGCTTTTTTTATCATAACAAAATCAAGCTTTCTTGGGCGGAATGAAATGCTAGTTAGAGAAGTACAATTTATTAGTGGTTTCTTTTAATGTCAGACTAGTTACCATGCCACTGTATTAATTGTACCTGTTATTGAAAACTAAAATGGCATGGGCCTGATCTGCAAACAGCTGGCAAATGCAACTGCTGCAGGTGCTTGAACAATATTGCATTAATGTAAATTGAGTGGTAACACCTGTGTATGTGCCAAAATCGTTAACGTGTTCTGAGTGCACTGACACTTCAAATCAAGCCATTGGTCAATCTGCAGTGCCAGCTGTTTCAGAAGGATATTGGAAAACCCCTTGCCATACAAGATTACTGGATAACTAGCCCCCTGAGGAAAGTTTCTTCCTAACAGCCCCTGGTGGGTGGTTATCTGTTGTCCTAAAACAGGTGGGGGATCTGCTGTGCCTGGATTTTGCTTTTTGTTGTTTTGTGGAAGAAACCAGGTACCTCCACCCACACATGTTCAAGCGCTGGAGTGGCACATTACTATTCTCGGAAGGTGCGTTTCAGAGGGCAGTCAGCTCCTTGTCTTGCTAAACAGTTTTCATAAAACCAATTTGGAACCTGCCCTTTGGCAAAGTTACGTGTTTTCAGAGTCACATGAATATGCAGAGTAGGAAGTTAATTTAGGTGTGCTCAGTTCCCTGTTTAAATGGAATGAGTGTTCAGATGGAAGATATTGGTATATGTTTTACTATATTAGCAATTTTGAACAGCTACTATGCTAAATTTTGTCTAGTAATTAGGAATGCATTATATGAGTTCCTTGAAGGACTGAAATTATTTTGCCATCTGTGCTGAACTCAAGTGTCCAAAATGAATTGTAAAAACAACACTCACAGCTGGCAAAAAAAAAATTTTGTTTAATGCATGTTTTTTCCCTACTTGATGTAATTTGGAGGTGCTCATTTCCATTTTAAGTATGCATGGAACTGTTTATCTTTTTTTTTTTTTCCTCCTAGACCAAACCAGAACTATAGTAAAACTAATTTGGGTCTGGATGTCCTGTGTATGGTTGGGCGGATGGAGTGTACACCTGAGCCTGGAGATCTAGCTGTGCCTTGGAATCAGCAGCTGGCTTGCTCTACAGTCTTTGGCTAGATGCTTAGAATAACTTTCAGATGTAGAGTGTATGTTGTTTTTTCAGGTGTTATACCTGGCAGCTCTGAAACTACATTGTGACTGCTTGCTTTCTTTTGTAAACTCATGATACATGGCCACTTCCCTTCTAAGCACTGAGATCCATGAATGTCTTGCACTGAATGTGTATTTCTTATAGAAGTCCTCCTCAGAAATAAAAAAAACAAATTATAAATGCAGGCTACTATGCTCTTAACTATATATTTGTGTTAAGTGGAACAGACAATAGTAAATTCAGATAACAGGTAATTCATTATAACTGTTGACAGAACAATGTTGACATGTCTGATCTCTAATCATAATACTTTCAAAAATGACCATCTTGTAATTTTCCCAAATCTTCTGTGTTTATGCCACGTGTTTAGGTAAGTTGGTGGTGAAACCCAAAGCCACTTCTTCACCAGATCCAGTACAAGCTGGAATGTAACCCTAATAATGCTTTGACATTAACTTACCCTACAACCCCCAGCTTCAAAGCAGTCCAAGTCCCCTGTTTTGTAGATGGGCCAAAAGGCCATCAAACCACTGCCCTGTCTTCATTTTTATTTGCTTGCTTGGCTCTCTACTGCCACCGTCTTCAATATTCCATGCTTGTTGCCCTGGGGCCCGTGCCAGGCAGAATCAGGCAGGACTGATGGCAGCAGGTCCCTCCCTCTCCAGTCTTTGTCCTTGTTGAGACATTCTGAAGATTTGTTAAAGGGTTTCCTGAACTGCCAGGGATGCTATTGATTTTAAAAAGGAAAAAAAATACTTTGTCCTTTTCTTCTGAGAAGAGAATTTAAGATGCGGTGAAAATGGTCTTGCTGCTTTGATAATGGTTTCTCTCCATGTTACCTTGTCATTTTCATCCTAATATGAATTGTTGTTTTTACCTAGGCTGCATAATGTGCTCTTCCTAGTTTCTCAAACCAAATAGCCACTGTATTGAAGAAGAAAATGAATTTTAAACCTGTACCACTCTAAATTCAGCAGCCTAAAAAGCCATACATTTTGCTCTGAGGAAAATAATCCATTTAATGAAACAGCATGAAAAACATACTGATTTTTGGCAGCACAGACTGTCCTTAAAAACAAATGACATTTTCAAGAGAAATGTGTGTTGATATATTCTGAAATGTGCAGAGTCATGCTTAAAAGTTTAGGTGAATGGTGTATTAGTATTCTTCACATGGATTATTGAGGTCTTTTGTTTTACTTAGCTTTTGGTCCTCAGCAAAAGTTGAATTAGTTCGCTCTGTCAGCCAGTGCTTAAATCTCATTTGCTTCAATGAAGGCTTAGATTTTGGAAATGCAGAGTCTACAACTGATGGTATATTTATCCTGTAGTTAAACCTTTATATGCTCACCGTATAACCTTGAGAAAGAAGGCTGGGCTTTTCAGCCCAGGCTGTAGTGTACCATTTAAATATATTTCAAATCAAGTGACTAATAAAACTTGGGAGCATATGTTGCAGTATAATGCCTGCCTTTCTTTTTTTTGATAATAAAAAGGTCCCCTCTCATTTTTTCCTGACACAGACCTTGTTTTGAATGTCTTAAAAATAAATGAAAAACATCAGGATCTCAGTATGTGGTTGCTTTTATGATGGATTTTTCAACTCCTTGTGAAGTACCATGTTTTTCTTGTGGAAGGAGGGTGCTTCTGCTTTGAGGCCAAGGGAGGAAAAAGGATGAAAATGGAAAAGGACTGTCTGCATAAGTGTATATTTAGGCAAATGTGTACTGCAGTGTTTAATGAAGCTGTGATGCTGCATTTTCCCCTAAATTAATTTTGAATTTTACAGCTACGATGGACTAGATGAATGGCTCAACTTAATTGGCAGGTTCCACCAGTGCAGTGTTTGTGCCAGGAATGTGATTGTTTCTTCTGTCCTCTACAGTACATGAATGCAATGGCTGTATGCAGGGTAGTCCTATTGCCCTTTTTGGTTCATAGTTGAATTAGCAGACAACTGTTCAGCATGTGATCATGATATCAAAAGACATTTAAATTGGAGATTTAAAAGAGAAGAAGAAAATGTTTTACATTATCAGCATGCTGTGCTCTGTGCTTGTGATTTGCTCCTTAAGGTTATGAAGGAGCTGCTAACCACGCTTGCACAAGTCTCTCTGCATGCCTGCAGAAGGGAGCGAAGCTTGACTGGCCCAGCTCTTGGCCTTATTGAAGCCCAAGAAAATTCTGAGGGCTGTGTAGCTAGCAATTGTTATGGTCTGTAGAGATGTTACCCCTCCTGCACCTGTGATGTTGCATGGAAGGTGTCCTGGTGGGTACAACACAGCAGACCTCTGCTGCTGTGTTTTTCCTTCTTACATACAGAGTTATCATAGTAAATTTTCTGCTATTTTCTTTACAGATGCATCTCCCAAATGTAAAACACTATGTAACTCTGAGATGGATGGGTAGCAGCTCTTCCTTTAATAAATAATATTATAAGCCTAAGTGATACTAGGCATAAAGTGTGATGATTACCTTAAGAAAAAAATCTATTATAAAGATACAGCTGTTACGTATCAACCCTTTTGAGGAGGAAGCGTCCATGCTAATCTACTTTGTTTTCCTCTATCTTTTCCAGACCATGCTTGCATGGACACTTCAGTCTGTCACAGATCTATCCCACTTCTGCTAAAGGTCATCCTGGCTCCTCTAACTCCTGGCAGTTTCAACTGTGATGGAGTTTTTATTCTTAGGGGGGATGTTTTCAGAGGTAGGTCAGTTCCTTGATCCAGCTTCTGTGCTAACACTGGCTTGTGGATAAGTGTTAGCAGTAAATGTTCAAGAGATGGAATAAGGCAAGAATCATGCCCCGGCAGCGTCAGACTTGTGCCCAGTTAAAGGCATTGAGACCCCAGCCCTAGCCCCTGCGAGTGCCTCTGCCGATGGATGGGTGCAAGTGTGACTCCTTGGGAATGGTGCTCCTGAGAGGCTACCTGCAGGATTTGGGTGTTTGCAGTGTTGAGGGGCTTTAGCTCTTTCTGGTCCTCACCAAGTCTCTGCATGACTGTGTATGTGTGAATAGGTAGTATGCTTTGTGGCGTTCTGTATTTTTTGAGTCATGCACATCCCTTATGGGTGGCTCTATAGTTTTCCTGTGCTAGATCTTACTGCTTTTTCTTGTGGTGGTAATGTTCTTCTGGGCGTTTTCTTCCTTCTTGGGGGATTGGGGGTAGCAGGTTCCTATTTTCCCGTTCGTATTTTTTTTTCCCATTTCACCCTTGTCCATCTACTTTGAAATATATGGAAATCAGAAATACTGACTACAGATGTGTTTATTTCAGTGTAACAGTGCATATGAAGCTTATTAGTCGCAGACAGGGAGCTGATCTGTCTTGATCGGTAGCACAAAATAGGTTCATGTTCAGAAGTCTGTCTTTGCAAGTACAAGGGCATTACCCGCATATTTTCAGTTGTCAGTTCTGCAGGCAAAAATAAAAAAGGGAAAGACAGTTTCTCTTGCTCTGTAGCTTTGAAGCTGTCAGGAAGGTGATGCTTGCTTGAATTCATAGTAGGACAATGCCCCAAGGTTAGATGGGGAAAATATTTCTTGGTTTCTGGGACATTTCATTTTTTCACAAGCAGTTTATTACCACTGCTTTCTAATTCGTACGGCAGCATTATCCAGTTAGCATTTATCCAATTAAAACTATTATGTAGTACTGTCCTGAGTGCCTGCTTTAATCTTCCAAATAGTGTATACCTCTCACTAATAACAAAAATCCCACTGATAATCTGTTTTTATAGATGTGTGCTTCTTACAGAACATTGTTCTAGATGGTAGTGTATTCGTTATAATCTATAATCGTGGAGACATTTCTGAATATCTGGCCAATTATTGATGGCTTTATCCACATTTTTCCTTTATATACATATAGCATATTTTTTTTTAAGAATTTTAACAGAATGTTAGCTGATTTTGTTCCTTGTTTTGTGTCGTTTGGGTTTTTATTATTTTGTTGTGTGGTGGTTTTTTGTTTTTTTTTTTTTTTTTTTTTTTTTTTTTTACTTGGGTAGGGTGAGATTTTTCACTGAAATGGTATTGCAAATTGCTAATGAAGGTTTGAAAGGATTTTAGATTTTTATGTTTTTTTTTTCAGAGCTCTTGAGGCATCTGGCTTAATGTTGAAACTGAAAAGAGAGCATTGGATTTATGGTTCCTAAGACTATTCCAAATTGTTACGAGGCCTTAGGGTGAATCCTTGCTAGGGAAAGTAAAATTGTCCTTTTAGCTATGACAGCAACTTCTACTGGAAAGACCTTGTGTAGTGATTAAAAGATATATCACAACATCTGTTAAGAACATCAGCTTTGTATTTTGTGGGTGTGGATAGCTGTTGCATTTATTAGTACAAAAATAATAAAATTACTTGTAAAATAATGACAATACCATGTTTAAATTTTTTCTTCTGCCTGGGTGTGAATATTGAAACATGGATACTGTTAATCTAGACATGAGAAAATACAATTGGATTGAAAATTTTTTCTTGCCAGCATAGTTTCTCTTTCTATAACTGCCATTGTAGGTCAAAAACACTGACCACATGGAAATTTAATGATACACAGGATGTCCAATTCCAACTATTTGAAGAAACCACACAATGTTTCCTTAAGAATATAAACCAGTGCAGTTTAATTTACTTCATTCTTATCTTAGGTCATATGTCTTCTTGAAGAACGGTGATAATTAAGTGTTTATAATAATTTCCTCCATTCATTACTCACTTCTTCCACTTGGCCTGGGAAGACACCTTTGCCAAAGAGTTGTGGTCAATAAATGGCTTCTCTGTAAATTCAGCTTCTGAGTTGCACATGGGAAGCAATCATGTTTTGAGGCAGTATCAAGATCCTTTGGAATTTTTTTGCTTTTCCTGGTTTGAGCCAATTACAGACTTTAAATTAAAATTGAAATATTCTATTTTGATGAGTATTTCTTTAAACATCTGTGAAGTGTTGCAGCTAACTTTACTTGTCCAAGTTCCCACACAGCTTGACAAGTATGTATACTCCATCTAAGAAGAAAAAAAAAAAATCAGAAGGGAGCATCCAAGAAGCAGGAATTACATTTATGCTTCTAAACAAGGATGCTAAGGGGATTTGATAAGACTGGTCTTATTAAAGATAAACTTGTAATACCGTGTAAATTAACATGTGTATACTTTTTAGTGCTTTAGAGGGGATTGTCATAGAAACTCTAATTTTTAGGTATTGCTGAGAACACATAGGTGTATATGCTAATGGGCAATTACTTGCTGAAGTCTAGAAGATGGATTTTAAGATTTTTGGTGGTGGTACACATCAGAGCCGCTTTATTGAGCAGCAATGTGATGTGTTCCTATCACAGTTTCATTCTTCTACCCCAGGTGTTTCATACAAAAGCACTGGTTGGGTTTGGAGTTTGGAGCAACACGGAGGACCAAGAAATCTCCCGTATTCAGCCAGCTTTGAAGTTCCTGAAAGTATGCAAAAGTGGAGGACACTCAGCTTCAGCATCTTGAGCTGTTGTGGCTCAAGGTCTGTAGCAAGAACAGTTTCCTATGAGACGGTCAGATTGTATGAGCTAATTTTAGAGTTTCTTACCAAACTAACAGGAGTGCTGCTGCAGAGTGGTTTAGCAGAAGTGTTGAGCTTAAGTGGTGCATGCTGTTGCAGAAAGAGTCAGGTTTTTTTCCCCTCTTCCTCCTCATTTCTCCTCTGCCAGATTTTAGCATATGTCTGATCTTGCAGTGAGGAAATTTAGGGAACTGAACTGGCACAAAGCTAACCCTCACAAACAAACAGAAAAAAGAATCAGTTTTCTCTCTCTGACCCAGCACACCAAGGGTCCCAGTGCTAATGTGTGGGGGAGGTGTAAGGGGAGGGCTCGACTTTCCCTTTTTATGACAGCTGACCAAGAGGATGGCTTTGCTGTGGTGTTTGAACAGTCTGTGAAGGAGGAGCTTTTTAGATATTTCTGAAGGCACTATATATATTTCTGCCTCATGGTCCTATGTGTCTTTAGAAGAACACATCTAATTAATACCTGAATTTCCCCAGCAAGTTTTCTGTAGCTATAGACAGCATGAATGATTTAAATAGGAAAAAAAAAAAAAAAAGTGGATGTTATTAGGTCTAGAAGGCAGATGTCAAATCAAGCTTATAATGAAGAGCAGGCCACATGTTAATCAGAGATGCAAATGTGGCTCCATGGTTTAATTTTGGGCAGCAGTAGGAACATAAGTGAGAGCAAATAGATTCAAAATACCAGAATCTGTGCAGAAAAGGAGAGAAAAGAAGGCAGGTGTAAATAAAGAAATATGAACCAGGCTGGTATTTTTAGTCAGGATGGTGAGAGCAGGAAGGACAGAGAAGAATTGACAGATGAATGAAAGACTGAGAGATTTGTTGTAATACAGTATCTTTGTAGAGGTTATCCGATCTGAAATCCAGTTTTCCATGTTAATTTGCTAAACTCTTCTTCCACA